TTTATTTCTATTTTAACTTTATTGAATGACTTTGTCATTATTTGTCTTTTCGCCTTCGTGTGCGGTGTTAAAAATTAAACGCCTTTATTTTCTCTATTTTTGTTAATGTTAATTTTTATTATTTTTATTTACTGGTTTGTAGTGTTTGTAGTAGGTATCAGTAGCAAGATTACGATCCAAAATCCCGAAAAGCATTTCAATAGAAATAGCGTATAAATGAATAAAATATAATTTTAGTTATACTTACTCATAATTTAGGTAAAAAGAATAGGTATCCGACGCCCTTAAATGTTTACTGAATGTTTTCATTTGGTTTAATTTTTAATATTCCTTTATTTGTATAAATTAATGCGCTATGGAAATTTACACAATAGACTCTTTCTAAGAGAAATGACGAAAAAGTGCATATGCTATCTCCATGTAAACGCCTTTTTTCTTGTAAAACAATTACGTACTTTTAAATGTTTAAATTCAAATACGAATAAACTATTAATAAGATCAGTAGGTTATTTAACATATATTCCAAACAATTCCTCTAAGCTTTCATTCATAAACTAAAAAAATATCGAATGAAATAAACACTGTTTCTCTTGTTTGGCGTTAATTACCACGCCTATAGGGCGATAACTCGCCATTCCAAATATGACCGCCAAGCAGATGTTTCATCCAATGAGAGCAGACCGTAGAGAAATGGTCTGTAGGCTTTGTGAATATGCTAGCGAGAGCGAAGATTATTAACCCTAACTCAGCAGTAGAAAGGGTTGTTAATAGTTCACCAGCAAGAGAATAATTTGCAAGTAATAATTATCAGTTACAAGACGAGGTCGATCTATATACATGATAATGTTCAGGAAATGATTAGATAAAATAGCTATTTAATGATGGTTCTAATTGCAAGCGAGGACGTGTAATTAGTTAAAAAATCTTTAGTGTATTGACAAAAAGGTTACAGAAATTACTTAAATTCTTTTATATAACAGATGTATTTTTATGCAAACTTAGACCCTAGTCTTATAGCATAGGACTGTCAGAATTTATTATTCAATAAGAAAACTTACTGAAAATTATAATATTCTTATATATACATCACTTTTTCAGTATCCACTCATGTTTATAGGTTCAAATGCCATATTCAAAGTTATTTATGAAATAAAATCTGATAAATCGTTTGTGTATGCAAATTTTTAAATCTAAATCTCTTACATTAAATTATTTCTGTCTTTTAAATTACATCCCATTATTTATTTCAATTTAATTTATTAATGTGTTTGTACTAAATAATATTTCAAAGTTCTTTGAAGTACTTTTTGTGTCCTGAAAATGCCAAGTATTTCCATAAAAATAAGCCGGCATACAGAATAGTTAATAACCAGTATTATATGATTAATTGTTGATTTAATCGCTTTTAACTTATTTCATGTCTAACTTTCTACGCAGAAATTCTCTGTCTAATTTTTATTATCCTTTCTCGGACGAAAATTTTGAAAGAGGAATGAATTAAAATCTTGATTGCGCAAAACACATCTTTGAAGCTAAACGTATTTTAAGAAGTACAAAAAATGTAAACAAGATTTTGTCTCCCCTCCCCAAAAGAGTCATTTAAACTATTCCAACCGTTCAAGAAAACAATAAACATTGCGAACATAAAAATCTACCCTTTTTTTATGTATACTTTAATAAAAGGAAATGTATTCCTCTTTTTTTATAAGAAAAAGAACCCATTTTCCTTTCTAAACTTTTGAAAGTCGCCAACACTTAAAAAATAATAAACTACGCCAAGGTAAGTAACCCGCCTTTTAAAAAAAAAAGTTTAGGCAGTTCTCGTACGTGGAATCAGCTACGGATCTGACAATTCAATGCGCATGCGTGGTTAATGGTGGTGCGAATAGCTTAAGTGGCTAATCGCACCGGTGGTGCGAATAGCATCGGCCATCATTTTTATATGTTGGATAAGTGTTCAATGATAATTACGAGATGTACATAGACATCGTTTATTCTTCATTGCTAATCTAATATTCTATATTACAGTTATGGTCAATAATAGTAATAAATACAGTTACATATATAACATCTCTGGTTTTTAAACAGAAATAATAAAATCATACATATTCTTAATAATAATGAGGTTTTCTTAACAGTCCTACCAGATCAAGTAACGTAGTTATGTCCATTTGCAAAATTTGGTAATACAATACCAGTATATGGTGGCTCAATACTTCTGTTTTGTGCTGAGGAATTTACAGGTACATCTAAACTTGAAGTACTCCTACTAATCTCGGGCCGAACGAACCATGCAGCCTCGGTAATTTTGCGAAGGGAGTTGTTTTGAAACATTTAAAGTTCGCTGAAATCAATACTGGAGGCAGTACTCCAGGCGGTGATGCATATGTAAGGATAAAGCGTAGGACTGAAGTGTAGATGCATTTTCTCCTGGTAAGGTATAATGAGGATGAGCGATCAAATAAGTGTCTGAGTTACCCAGAGACATCGACTCATTTTCCCCCTGCTATTAAGATACATGCTTTCCATATTAGTGCCGTTAAATCTAATTCCCAGGTATTCAGCTTGATTGATCCTTGGCACCAACTCGTTAAAAAGTGTCAAACCCTCATGGTTAGATTTTAACATCAGAGCTTTCAACAAGTAGTAGTTTTGACTTCAAGGCGTTAGTGAAAATCGTCCATTTGCTACACCAATTTTCTATCTCATGAGTACGGGATTGAATTCTGGTAATGGCATGTCCAAGGAGAAGCGAGCTGGAGTGAATCGCTGTGTCATCCGCCTAGCAAGCGGTGATGCAATTTGGATTATCATCGAGCATGGGGAAGTCCATTACGTAAATGAGACAGAGAATTGGACCAAGGATCAATCCCTATGGCACGCCAGCTTTAATGATATTAGAGTAGTGGGCGACGTGCCTGACACTGAAAGTTCTGATGTTAAGAAAGGAGCGCAGCAGGCGTTGTAAATGTCAAAGAATCTGTTGATAATTTTACCAGGGAGATGGATGCTTGATGATGAGATTTGGAATGTTGTCCTTGCCAGGCGCTTTATTTTAATAAAGCTTAGAAATTATGTTGTTTACTTTAGCAGGGGAAGTGAAAGTGGAAATGTTGGTGGCATTGGGCTGAAGTATCCAATTTTCTACCGAGTTGCCTATATGAGGGATAAAGATGGGATCCAGCGGAAGGAAAACGTCACTTCAATGTTGAATACCAGAAATGGAATTTGAAGTTATTTTGTCCATTTTTGTAGGATTCATCAATCGATTTTTTAAGAATCTAATACTGCATATATGAAAACTAGAAAGCAGGTCAAGCTTAGAAGTTTCCTTGTCGGTGTGGAGGGTCGCTGGCCATCTCATGTAACTTCTAACTTCGAAATCTGGATGCTGATGAAATCAAGTAATTTTTCGATCATTTTGCTAATATCCATATTTCAAGATAAAATTCAAATTCCAAAATCTAATTAAAATGTCAGTTTGTGTGCCTAGGCAAGGAAGCTCGTGCAAAGGACGTTTTACGGTTTATCAAATCGAAAATCGTTGAGCTAATAAAGTTCAAATATTAACTGCCCTAAATCTCACGGAAATTCCACTACAGCATTTAAGTAAAATGCAAAAATTATGTATGCACTAAAAATATTTAATAGTATAATGCAAATATTTAATTACACTTTGCAATTTTATACATATAAGTTAAAAATATCTTTAGAAAATCGCACAACAAGGGTGTTATAAATTCTCACAGTGTTTAAATGAGACTGCCAGCTTATGCCTTTAAGATTCGAATTAATTTCGATTTTATTCTGAAAGGAGGTTTCACTATAAATTATATAATCGTTTTTTAAATTAGAGGTAATGATAAAGAAATTTCCCTTTTTATCTATGATAATTATGCATTCGAATATTGATTTACGCAATAAGGTCTAAAGCCTATACAACAACGCATAAAGGCAGTGTATTATGGTATATTATTACGTATAAAGGCAATTTTATATTTTATTTAATTTTTTTTTATATTGAAAATTCTTTATAAAGTTGTAGAGACATTAGGTATTTTTTTTTTTTTTTTTTTTTTTTTTGGAAGCAGGCTAGATGAAAAATTAGCAACCACCTTCGCCGGGAATCGAAACATGGACCTCTGGAATACCGGCCCAGCGTGCAGAACCACTACACCACGAAGGCACGCTAGAAAAGCGGCAGAAATATCTTATATACTCCCCTTTTTAAAGGACGACTGGGGTTCTTAGGGGACCCAATCGCCAAATCCTGGGTGGAGAGAAACATCATCCAACACCCTTTCAGTTCGGGCGCCACTGTAGTGACATTAGGATTATTTTTTGTTAGGGACATTAGGATTTTTTTTTTTTTTTGGGGTGCAGGCAAGATGAAAAAATAGCAATCGCCTTCGCCGGGAATCGAACCACGGACCTCTGGAATACCGCCCAGGATGCTGACCACTACACCACGAAGGCATTCTAGGAAAGCGGGAGAAATACCTTATAAAATGTAATTGAGCCACTATATAAAAAGGCCATAATTTTCAGAAGGAATAAACATCTTATTCGGAATAAAACAATGGCAGATACTGCTATAACAATGTTAAGTTTTCAAATAGTTCTTTATTTCTGATGTAATGAATCATAATAATGAAATTTCGAATAACGATGCGAATTTTCTTCCAAGTTTTGTCTTAAATGACACTTATGCGACTCTCGCGTTTTAGTAAATGGAAACTGGATTGAATCTTGGAAGTGTAGATTGATTCCATCAGTTTTAGATAAGATAAATTTTATGTAAACGTTCCTCTCCCTTGAGCTAAAAACAACCAATCAATGAGCTTTCAAGAGTATCGTAAACATCGATGTTAAAATATAGTTTTCATTGACAGTTTCTTTTACAAACTGCTACTTGATAATACAGAAGCACAAAAACAATTCTTTCATAAAAATAACGTTTTAGACAATATATGAAATAAATCATGCTTGAACTATTTTAAAATAATTTTTAAGAGGTAAGACGATTTTATTAATATTCTTTAATAAAGAATTCTGTATTTGTTTTTAATTTTAGATGCTTTCCTTGAAAACAAAATTGAAATTATTTGTATGCTTTCTTACAATTCAAAGCACTATAAAATAATAATGTTAGATTCTAAGATGATTCTAAAGTAATGATGAAGATTCTAATGTTATTAGAATACTCTTCTAGTTAACATACTATGGTTCTATGATCTTAAATTTTTATTGAACAAAATAGGAAATTTTGACACTAATATGACAAAGTTTTAAATTTAAATAACAGGGTTCCGAGAAAAAATTTAAAAAAATTTCATTATCCTACTGGCTTAAATCAAATGCTCGCATGTGTTTATAGAGTGTGTAGAATAAGTTTTTATCTAGATGCCTTTTATTATAGACTTAAAATGCTCATTGAATAGAATTAAGCAGTGGAAAAGATTGTAGTGGCACAAAATAAAATGTGAAGAAATTCCTCATCTTAATATACAGCTGTTCGCCCATTATATGCAAATGATAGCTGTGCCCAGGATATATATATACAAAAGCAGGTTGGAAACTTTCTTTATATTTGTGCTTTGATATTCCAGCTGTAAACAGTATTTGGGGACATTTCCCTTTCAGCTCCTAGTGACAAATGGATGGATGAGTAGATAGTATTTCGTGTTAGAGAAAAGAGTTATAAAAGTTCCCGAGCCTGATGGAGTCGGGTAGTTCCTAGTTATCGTGGAAATTTTTTTGAATCATGGCAGATTTGTTGCGGTAACTGTGTATTAGTGAGTGAATTCTCTAATATGTTTATACGATACTGCTCTACAGAAGAATGCAGTCTGCGAAACGTATGATATTTTGCATAATTTAAATCTCATTTACTATGAAAATGACTTTAAAATTGATGTACAGCCGACTATTTTTAAGAAATAATTTGTGTATTTTATGGTAAAAAATTATTTTTAATCAGAGGAAGTAATGTTAATGAAACAAAATGTTTTCATTATATATCAGATATAAATATATAATTATAGATAATTATAGAAACATCATAAAATATAGTACTCTACGAAAAGGAAAAAGTAGGCAGTTATGAGTGAAAAATTATTACCGTTATGGTCAAACACTGATGACTAACTTAAACTGATATATAATTAAAAAAACTGAATATATTTCGTTGACATATTCAAAATAAATTTCTGTATTTGTGAAAGATTGTTCATGTATTTTTGTAACTTAGTGTTTCTCAAACTTTGGTTCGCGGACCAGGAGCGGTCCTCGAAGCCTGCCCTTGTTGTCCTCCTAGATTTGCAAAAATGTCCTGTTATTTGTAAAATAAGAAGCAAGATTTTACATTATTTCTTGCTGATTATATTTAGCTAAGTACACTGGCATATCTTTCAGATGTATTTCAGATGTACAGTTATATAATTGCAGTTTTATATAGTACAAGTTTTTTTTTAAACAAACTTATATTTTGCGCAGTTCTGTGCTAATTACACTAATCATGTGGTATAAACTTATTAACAATACAAACTTTTTAAAGTTTTTATATTTAGTTCACTCATGATGTTTCACTGTGAGTGGAATTTTTTCATCGGTTTTTAAACTACTTCCTGATAAGCTATCGAGTTAAAATTTTGTGCACACATTTTTTGTCGATGAGGATGACGATCACGATTTGTTGATGATTGTTGTAAAGGGATTCTTTTCAAAATTTTAAATTAAGCTTTTTTTATTAAACATTTAAGAGTTTTCGAACATATCGTCATTTAACGAACAAACTAAACATATCAGAATTTTACTATTAATTTTTGCCCTCTTTTAAAAAAAGAATGATAAAAATATAAAATAAAATTTTTTGCCCTCTTTTAAAAGAAGAATGATAAAATATAAAATAACATTTTTTTAAATTAGCCGATTTTCTACACCTTTTTTTTTTTTTTTTTTTTTTTTTTTACAAAATGTGCTGCAGTCTGAAGCAGATGGATAACAAAGCGTTTTTTGCGGAAAAATTGCTTTTAAATTGTTTCGATTAGTCTCTGAATGACGGCCAATTATTTTTCCTTATATCTTAATTTTCCTGTGTTTTAATAATAACTAAAATTTTTGTCATTGATAAACGTGTAACTGAGACTAAAAATAGAAAATAAAACGCAATTTAAAGAAAAAAGCTTTTGCAAATGTTTAAATTGGATATGTTAATTAATGCGTTAAAAGGAGAAAAATCATCTATCACATAGTTTAATGGGAATAATAAATTAAATAATTCTTCTAATAGAATTGATGTACAACTTTATATCCAGAATAATAGAAACGTGGGACACCTTATAAGGTATTTCTTCCGCCTTCGTGGCATGCCTTCGTAGTGTGGTGGTCTGCACGCTGGGCGTGTGTTCCAGAGGTCCGCGGTTCGATTCCCGGCGAAAGCATTGCACATTTTTCACTTCTCTTGCTTCCAAAAGTACCTAATATCTCTACAAGTAGCCCCCGAACTAAAAAAGAGTGGAGGATGATGATTCTCCCCACCCAGGATTTATAAGGTATTTCTCCCGCTTTCCTAGAGTGCCTTCGTGGTGTAGTGGTCAGCATCCTGGGCCGGTATTCCAGAGGTCCGTGGTTCGATTCCCGGCGAAGGCGACTGCTAATTTTTCATCTTGCCTGCTCCCCCCAAAAAATCCTAATGTCACTACAGTGGCGCCCGAATTAAAAGGGCGTTGAATGAGGATTCTCCACAGCCAGGATTTGGCGAGTGGGTGCCCTAAAAACCCCAGTCGCCCTTTAAAAGGGCGAGCATATAAGGTATTATCCCGCCTTCTTGGCATGCCTTCGTGGTGTGGTGGTCTGCACGCTGGGCGCATATTCCAGAGGTCTGCGGTTTTATTCCCGGCTAAGGCGTTGCACATTTTTCACTTCTCTTGCTTCCAAAAATACCTAATGTTTCTACAACCTAAATAACCCTAAATAACTAAATCTATTAATTTAATTGAATTATCAAATATATAAGCCATTATCTTTTAAATTTATCTCAGCCCCCCACACTTTTTTTACTCGCGATATAAGATTATAGCTAAATCCTGTAAATGCAATTATTTAACCTTTTGTTTTCATTAAATTACATGATAAATTATTTTTCTTCTTTTAGTGTATTAATTATTATACACATTTTAGATAAAAGCTTATTGTATAAAAACCTTTTTTCAATTGTATTTTATTGTATGTTTACCAATTTCCAATTTCGCAGGGTTATGAAAAAAACTAACCCTAAATACCGTTTAATAGTATAACCTTTCCTTGATCAAATCTAACTGAATACAGAACTGCTACTTTTAACTTTAAGATAATCTTCAATATATTTTCTTCGGAACTAAGTTAATGAAGTAAACTTCATGCAGGAGCGAAAGGAAGGTAAAAATACACACTTGTTTGCAAATGCATAAAGCTCGGAACTTCTTTGTTATAATTCTAAGCAGCTAGTGGGGAAAAGATTTCACATTGCGGTTACTGTAGGGAAAGAATGACGTAATCATGCTCCAGTGTGACGCAAAATGTATCCTCAAAGATAAGATGTGCTTAATTAAAAATTATGAATTTAAAGATTTATTTCCAAATTATTCCAATTAAGTTTCATAATTTAGTTAGCAGTTTTGTTTCATATTTTATATTTCACACATATGTATCTATATACACTGCGACGCCTAATGTGGGGAGATCACACTTTTATAACCTTACTTATGCAAGATGCATGTATGTGGTGTGTTGAAGGTAAATTTACAATATGTTTCGAAATTATGTTTCTAAAATTCAGTTTGACCCGAACATGCTTTTTTGCAGTTTTCTCCTTTGTTTTTCTTTCTCTGTATTTGCTTTTTATTTCTCAAGTTGAATTTTTTTTTCCTCTCCCAGTATAAAATTATGAGATTCTTTCTTTTGGTTGAATTCTTTTTCCTGTTTCCTTTTGGCGTCTAACCCTGCACAGATATTTATCAAAACATAATAAGCAATAATAATAACAATAACTCAAAGGGCGAAATTATTTTCTATCTGAAATCTAAATTTTGGTACCTGCAAGAAATTTCTCTTGGTTACTCTCCGCAATTCAAAAGTACTGACTAAATTTTAAATTTCAAACTGACATTTATTTCAAATGATTGTAATATATTGAATTAACCACTAAATAACTTGCATAAACTAAAAATAAATAAATTTTCCGAAAACTTTCCCAATTTCTAAGGAAAACTATTGAAGTGAGACAAAATGTAAGGATAAATACTGACATCAATCTTTCTTTTATTTGTTAAACTTTTTTTCGATCTTCATCGCAGATTGTAGATGTTCATTGGTCAATTAAGTTCTTTTCTCAGATTAGGAACGTTCACCAGCAAAAAATACTGTTCACTAACAAATGTGCTATAAAAACGATCATTCTTATTGCAAAAATTTGTAACTGAGAATACTTATCTTTTGACAAGAACGAAAAAAGTTAACCAGATCTGCGTACTTTTATTACATTGGTAAATTAATCTGTTCCACTTGTAGATTTTCTATAGCGTTATCCCGTTCGTTTTAATGGTAATGAAAATGATCTGAAATGTCAGTACAAATCATTAAAACCGATACATCTTTTTTCAAAATACTGTGGTAATAATGTTATTTTTCTTACATATTGTTACGGATTTTGTATTTAGTTTGCTATTTTTAGTGGACTTATAATTAAAATTGTTTTATGCAATTTTAATTATAGTTCCCCGCGCAATGCAACACGAGACTTATTTTAAGAGAAAGCTACGCCGGAAAAGTAAAAATGCAGGAGCACGAGCATTTAACATTTAATGAATAGATATCTTGTAATTCCACTCTTTTGCTTTCCAGAAATTGCTAGAATTAACTCGCGTGGCAGAATTAAAAATCTATAAAAGACGGAGAAAAAATCTCTGTTCAGTTGTTGTTTACTTAGCTGCTGTAATTTTGAGATCAGATTATAGCTTTCTCTGCGCTTTGATAT